TTTTTACTATTTAGCATATATAAGATATTAGTGTTTTTTCCAGGATTATTTTAAGTTTGCAAACTCTTAGATATACCTCTTGAGTTCCTAACTTATAAATCCCATAAGACACAAAGTTACAATTACTTCTCAAAAGATTCTAAAATATATATCTTCTAAATTAAAAAACTTTGTATAGTATTCTTTCCAAAAATCTTAAACATAAAATTTAAGAAAATTTAATTTTCCCTTTGCAAAGAAAACCTTTTTTGGGAACAGCTGAATAATTTTCATAATTTTTGGCATGCCCACATGCCAACCCCCGAAAATTCATCTGCGTCATCGGAATTAATTCACAGCAGCAGCAAACATACTCATTTTTGGAAAAGAAACAAAAACTGCATTTCTTTCTGAATGAAAACTCAGCGCTGCTGAACTTTCTGCTGGGTGTTGACGGTGTCAGCAAAGTTAATTGATCAAGTTATAAAGCCGGGCCGTACCGGCCAGAGTCGGGCCATTGACTATGTACGAAGGTACACACATGCAAATGTACATAAACACCATAACACCAAAATCGCTGATACTGGGCTTTAATCAAACCAAAATAAAAAATCGAAAAAATCCATATAGGCATTAATGGGCGAGAAGCGGAAATTGAGTAAACACTATTTCCATTTGCATAAAAAAAGGCTTTAAAAAATATTCTTTTTAAAACGTGTTTATCAATTTTTAGCAGAGTTTGATTAAAAGTTGAAACATTTTTTTTTTCTTTATTGGATATTTGATTATTATTAATAAAGATTATTTATTATACAACTAGGACAATTGTCTGGTCTGATAATTAGTTGAAAGGCTTCCGGCCGTATCCAAATATGCCCGAGTTTTCTGCACTTTTTCAATTAATTAAGCTACCATCTCCGATAGAATCAATTGGCTTGAGGAAATTAAATTTATCTGCTTATGCATTCATATTTCCCCCGATATTAGTATATATTTAATTTAATAAACAAGAACCGTAGGCGCCGGCTTATCGGGTTCAAAGAAAAGCCGCCGAGAGTCGGCGTTCAAAGTGCAGAAAGTCGGCGTTCGAAACTCTGAAAATTGGAAAGTCTACGGCCGGATTTGTGGTTCTAACTCTGGTGTTGGAATCGATTGCCACTCGAATGGAAATTAATTGGCAACCGTATGGACATGACACGGAAGATCACGAGACCGAATAAAATCGAACTATTAATCGGCGCACAAAAGTGACAAACATCTATTAGGCATTTAATTAAAAGTTTCGCATCGCAAGTGAGGTGGATGGTGGGCCGGGGGGAGTGACTTGAATGGCTTTGTTGGCCATTGATAGTAGGTTGTGGCTCCTCTTGCCCTCCATACTTGGCCAGAGTGTCAAATTCGTGCATTTCAAGTTACCGCTCTCTGATAGCGGCAAAGAGCAAACACAAATATTTGCCTACAATTACTTACCGCTTGGATGGACAGATAACCGTAGCCATAGTCGTAGTCGTAGCCGTGGTCAGTTGGTAGGATGACACAATAGTTGTTGGTAACTCCCTGCCTTTGGCCCAACTCTGCTGGTGTGTACATAATTGGGCTATCGACTATCAGGCCGCCGGCAGAGGCGCTCGGACAGAATATGGCAATTAAAATTCGATGGACAGATAGGTGGTCGGATCGAGCATGAAGTGGTTATGGCGACAGGCGGCTGATCAAACCCTTAAGCCGTCAACAGACACACCCACCCACTTGGCCTCCTGTCGAGACATTGTTACACTCGAAATAAATACGACTTTTTTGAATGTAAACTTATAGGCAGAATGTCTGTCTATTTCTATAGAAACTTTAAGCACCGAATTGATTATTTCCAATTTTTAAAACCTAGTCCTTATTCTCTCTGTTTTATTTTCTGGTTAATGCCTATCGATTCAACGCTAATTAATGTTGAAAGAACTGTCGACTAGAGGACATCTCATCCTTGTTCCTTGCCCCAAATTGCAACACCTGTCCTTTGGCTCACCTGGCGGTGGCCTGATGGCGATGCGGAAAGTCAGTGACTATGTAATACACTGTGTTTTGGTCAGCCTAACCGCACGGACTACACTCATCCGATTAAACTTTTAAATAGATGTCAAACAAACTACATTCTGCTAACTACAAGGACTTTCGTTGTCATCGTCCTGGCTCGGAGCACGGCGATGTCTTAGGCCTGGTTGTCTGCCGACATGCCATACATCTATCCATATCCCTCGGTCGCCAAACGGGTGTGTCCATTGTCCTTGTAGATGATCCTGTATGTGTGTGTGTTGGTCGTTCAACCACCGGTGCACCGGTGTTGCCGGTCACTCGGGGTCGTGACGGACAAATGTCCGAAATTTGAAACTTTAAATAGCAGTCTTCGAAGCGTGTTTTCCACAGGGGCGAAGGTGAGAGGAAGGCGAGAGGTGTCTATTCGGTCTATTCAGTTGGATTTATCCATGGCCGGTTGGGCGGAGCTTGGATGAGTAGGGCTTTCAAATTAGTTCTGATTTACCACTGTTCCATCAGAGTGTCAGAGTGTCGGAGTGTTGGTGTGACAAGGATTTACTTTTCGGTCACATGTCGCAGGTTGTGTGCGTATCATGTAAACATTTCAAAGGACCACACCTGCCGGAACACGTGTACATAATTATACGAGTGCAACAAAGTTCACAGAGTCTATTATACTAAAATTTAGAGACTAAAAGTTGAGGTTTATTAATCAGATTATAGTGGAATTAAACTAAAAGTTCAGTTTATACAGTTTTAGGGTAAAAGTCTCTTTATTTTAACAATTATATAGACAATAATCTCTTCATCTTACCAGTGACACACTTTTTGCTTAAATAATTTGTCTTTTTCTTTAAAATTAACATGTCAAAGCTCAAACATCAAAAGACCAAAAGTCTTCCCAGCAAGCTGTCGTCAGCAATATTCACAAGAAATTTATCTTCCCCTCCTGGAACATCAATACATTTTGATAAGACTCTGCCCTCTTTAGGTGACAGCTCTCCTTAATAAAAATGAATTATCCAACATCCCAAACGCGCGACGCAGACAATTTGTTTTCACTTTGAAATTCGACAATTAGATTCTAATTTTAGTTTTCTCGGAGAACAAGTCAACTTTATTTAGAAACAAGACACAAGAAAAATCGATTGTTGTGGCGTGTAATTAATTTTAAAAATAAAACGTATATATGTACATAATAAACGTTTTAAGGATTTGGGGATATGAGTGATGTAATTTGTAAAGAAAGCTATGTGGGTTTAATAATGGTTGTATTAAATTCTTATAAATTCGAATCAATACATTAAATTAGAATCTAGCTTAGACTCTAAATAGATTATAGCATAATGAAAATTCTGCTCCAATAGACTATATAAAATAAAAATTAATATCTAAAACAGAAAAATAAAAAGGTTTAAATCAATATAAGCTACATATTGTGTATTACCCCACTCTATAGTCCATTGTTGCTACTGCTATTTGAATATATGAATATGTATAACTGCTATACTAAACCTTTTAATTAAACATATTTTAAATATGTGTGTAAGGTTTTATTTAAATAAAAACATTTAGCAATACAATTGGTTTTTGCTTTCAAATGTCTTACGTTTTTATTTTATTATAGAATTCATACCATTTATATTTTTGCTTTAATATCTCTTAAGGAATTAGTTTTTTACAGAATCTATAAAGAAAATATTTAGCGAAGTATTTTAAATATAAATAAAATATATATAATATTTTATATCGGAATATTTGTAAAATCATTGGATATTTAAAAGGCTTTTTGAAACATTCATATAAAACTCTATAAACCTCTAGAGTATTAATATTGTTAGCTAAGATATAAGCACTATTTTAGATATAAAAATAATAATAACACTTTTTAAGGAGTACTACAATATAGAGTCAACTAAGGACTTGTCACTCAATCTGAACCTTATCCTAAAATTTATTCAAAAGTTACTGAACTAAAATAGATTCACGCATTAAAGTTCAAAGGACACACGGAAAACATTGATTTGGCAGAATCCTCCCCGAGCTTAGCTTTCCAAAAATCATCCGGAGAGGGTTCTGAAAAATGTGGAAACCCAAAGTGACACATATCGCAGATCAATATTAGCGTTGGGCCTTCACAGCGTTTAACCCCCGGCAGCGGCACACACATTTACATGTGTTTCAAGCGATTTCGAGTGTATACAAATGTCTCTTTCTGTTAGTGCTACGATTCGGGCCTAATACACTCCCAGGATCCATTAGAAGTGCCAAACACCAATTAAAGTTTTGCATGGATTACCAGCGGAGTGGCAAGCAAAAAAAGGAATACCACAAGCGGCAAGAAATAAAAAAGACAAGGAAAAACCAGTATAGAGGCATGCGGCTCTCGAGTGTAGTTGTGTGTTCGTTGAGGGGAATGCGAGCGGAAGCGGAAAAGCGGGTGCGAGCGAGTCAACTCGGCCGCAGCTCAGCCATCTTGCTCGCTCTCGTGCTGCAATGGCCTCAGATAAAGGGGCAGCCATTTTTTAAGAGGCGGAGCCAAAATAACGGAAGCGACTTGGTACTTTTCAAGCCATCGGGGTAAATAGTGGGAAATTTGTGGCGTTCGAAAGGGAATTTTTAGCTTGGGCTTCGGTGGATAAGTTTTCTGCGACAGAGGCGAGAGAAAAGTCACGGAGGCGAGTGGAAAAATTACCCGATTTTCCCGAGAATGTGCAGCCTAGGAAAAATCGAGCTATCGGAGCCGTGCATTGCTAAGCGGAGAGCTTGCGAAGTAGCCGAAAAAGCTCAGGCTACCGAAAGCTCCAAGTGCATTGGCGAAAAAGTTGGTGCCCAAGCTGCACCTACCATGGATGCCACAAAATGGCGGCGTTGTCTTCGGAATGCCGATAAATCAAAGCACTCTCCTCTGTGGGCCTAATTTGAAAAATTGGTAAGAGAGGAGAGCTGGATGCAGAGCCAGGCGGCAAGGCGGCAAGTGCCGGCAAATGGGGAGCGGCATTTCATCAGAGGGAATTAATCAGAGCAGATGAAGCAGCGACAACCGAAAAATAACGACGCGGCATCTCCCAAAGAGCCCGCCGCCTGTTATCTCCTCAATCTCAATCTTTCAGTGCGTGTCCGGCGTTCTTTCAGATGCATCCCATTTACAGACGTGTGTCCCAGTGTGTGTGAGTGTGTGTATCTGGCGCTTGGTGGCACAGCAGCGGAATGTCACCGTGGCAAGTAAGTATCCCAAACAGTCCAGTTGAGGGACCCTCTTCAGCGCCTTTGGCGGCAGCGGCTGCGGCGGCTGTGGCATCGGCATATCCCAGAGCATCCATCAAACCCGCGACCGTTCATGTCAAATTATAAATTCTCAACAAAAAAATTTAAATCTAATTTTGCCCCGGGCGCGGGTCTATATTCAAAATACATAATGGATTTTACTTTGTCCCTGACAAGTACAAGCCCATTTAATCAATAATTAACGTAATCCATCAAGTACAAAGTGTCAAATGCACTCGCGCTAAAAGGATTTCTCCCGAAAAGCGCATCGCGTTGACACCAAAACGAAAAAAAAAACGCAAAATAGGAAAATCAAGTCGTCCTTGTTGCTTGACACTGAAAAGATATACGAAACAAATCCGCGCTCGTCACATCTGCATGTCGAAAAAACCAGCAGCCACAGGACGAAAACCGAAACTGAAAAACAGAAACAACCCCCATGGCAGGATAACTTTAACCCCTGCTTGCCGTCTGTCACTTTATTAGATACCAACCGGGGATGAGGCGAAAAGTACAAAAACATAAACTGAAACAGAAACACAGCGACAGTGGCAGCAGCAGCAGCAGCTTATCTAAGCCAAAAAGTCGACCCTGATCAACCACTTGCAGGCCCATGGCTCATGGCTCATGGCCGTAAAGATAGCACGGCTCTTGTCCTTTTTTTCCCGAATGGGTATCAAACTACAAATGTCCATTTTTCAATTTACCTGGCACTCTAGACCACTTCCCACCCAACCTCCGCATCCATATCCATCTCCACTCCCCCCCACGCACATAAATTGAATCTGAAATGATATGGTAAGGGATGGGGAGACAAAACAAACAAACGGACACACGGACACTCGGACAAACACCCACCGAATCGGTCTATAAATTAGCCCTTGGCCAGTTGGTTAGCTGGCGGCCAAAAGACCGTGAAATTTTCCCAATATGCTGACTTTTATTTGCGTTACGAAGGGTCACTCCACCAAACGTCCGGGTTCTATCCCTCTCATCCTCATTATTCTCATTTGACATTGCACTGGACAGTATACTTCGGGTATATATATTATATTTGGAAATGCTCGCATTTAAATGTCCGCAAGACCTCGTTTGACGTATGAATAAATTATGTTGTGGACCCTCCTGGACCCCTCGATCGATTCTTCGGCTAGTTAACATAACTTTTAAAGACAAAGGCAACGCTCTACATGTCATCCCCAGGGCAGGACCATGTGACATTTCTCCGGTTCAGTGGGGAAATTTATATGCCGCAATTTGTCAATTGTTGCAATTTCTCTTTTGTATGCGCCTGCATCTACTTATTTACCCAAAAAGGAGACAAAGCCCTCATAAATAATTTAAATGTTTGTTTTTACTACTTAGGGTTTCGGGATACAATTTTGATATAAAAAAAATCATACTTAAACACTTTTTTTCCTGCCATTTCCAGACACTAATGCCTACCCCAAGATACTTAACGACACGAAAGGCACATGCCTGGGTAACCTGAGACACCGCAGTATGTATCCAATAAGTAAATGAGCTTTAAAATAATTTAGCTATCTTTTAATCACACGTGTTTGTTTTTCCTTCACTTTTTCAGAGACAAGTTTCCGGCGAGGCGACGGTCCATCTTTATGGACGATGTGGACGATGTCCGGTGCGGTGACGTTTATGAAAAGCCATCGCAGCATCAAAGCCAATTAAGATACTGTGGGGCACATACAAGCTCTACAGGAATACGCGGCTAATTTCTGCGACAAAGCCGACAAACGATCCGGACTCTGGGAGTCTGTAAAGGTGGAGGAGAAGCGGCACTTTTGTCGCAAACACAGGCCGTAAAATTAAGAACTCTGATTGGTAACAAATGTTTTTGTTCATTCGAGTGATAAAAACGTAGCGAACCGAAAAGATATAAAATTCTCTTTAGTGTCTTCCCAGTGCGGCGATGATAAAATATTTAAATGAGCGCCGAATGGGAAGGTGCTCCACCTCATACCACTACCATATACTCCACTCTACCAGTTCGCTTCACTCCACTCCTTTTTGGACATTTAGGAAATCAGAGAGAGCGAGTGGTGGACCCGAAACCTTAATGGCCGCGTGCACGCACTGGGGCTTAAATCTGGTATCTGGATATGGCCAACAAGTCAACAAGCCAACAAGCCGAAACAGTGGGCTTAAACACGACCAAGGGCAAAAGTGTGAAACACCGACTGGGCGTAACGCCAATAGCCATCGACGATAACCACTGTGTCTCCGAGTAAGTCGGTCGGCTGTCATGATTAAATAAAAGTCCAATGCAAACGGGCCAGCTAGGATATTAAATTACAGCCATAACTGCTTGGGGACTGACGGTGAAGGTGAAACTAAAAAGGAAAAGGCAAAGGTAAAGGCATTGCCGGCAGGACCTGGACTCAGCTCAGACACACACACACTGCCACAGACCGAACCGAATCGAAGTGGACCGGACCAAGCCCCAAAAGGAATCGAATCAGAAACAGCCACGACAAAATCATAAAAGGCATAAACAGTTGTAAAGACCCAAACCACAAAGGGCGTAGAATCAAAATTGAGCACTAAAATGTTATCGAGGTCGGCACAGATTAACTAGCCCTTTTGCTGTTGACTCGACGACAGAAGACAGAGGACGGAAGACAGAGGACAGAAGACAGACGACGTGCAGGTAGTTCATTCTGAAATATCGAGTGTATCTTAAAGATACTTGTGCGACATTGCGATCATTACGCTCTGTAACAGATACCCAAAGGCAGGGGCTTGTTCCTCGGACACGACAGGTTGACCCGACCGGTCCTGTGTAATCCCTGCCCGGTCGAGGCAATTATAACCATATACAGAATCGCAGCTCCATCCCCCGCTGACAACGACGACCCACAACCGAGCTATTGTCCCGAAAAAACAGAAAAAAATTGTCATTCACAACTGTCTCGCCGATAAGAAGCAATTATCAAAAAGCGGTAAAGGACAGCGAGCTGAGATCACATTGAATGGCGCCAGTTTCACAATGAATCTCCGTGGTAACGTTAAGATTTCGTCATGGCTGTTTAAGATCTAGGTTACATAAAAATATTTATGGGTTATGTACCTTTTTCTTAGTCTACAGATCGAGTGTTATGGGTATACGATTTAAAAACAGGTAAATGTAATGTGATCTTAGTACTACCATAAGTTCCCCTTGTTCAAGGGTTTAATCCGGAGTGTGGATTCCTAATCCCAAAAGTATGCAAGTTTATTGTCATGACCATTCCTTTGTAATGTTAATTAAATGAAAGAAACGGAAATAAAATAGCGTTCGACCTTTTTCAACCCCAAATCGAGGATATCACTGATTGTGGGGAGTGTCCCAGCCGACACTCGTCCAAATGGCAGCTCTTCAAGGAACATAATTTACCCCACGTGGCGGGGATTACATATCAACTACGCCACTGTTCTCATTTCGGGGGCGTGACACTACAAGCGCCTGCTCTTAATCTTTATCTATTTGGATAGACATTTATGTTGTCATTTAAGGAAGTGTGTTTGAACATTTGTTCATTGAAGAAGGAGCTTAGAAAAATGTACACTAGATGTAAGCTAATATTAGGATTCAATAATGAACACCAGCGTTGGCTATATTTGTGGAATGTTTTATCCGATTTTTAGACGGAATTCCTTAAACGATTCTTCATAAATCTGCATCAATTTTTTTTTAAAGTTTTCAACTTTGAAAATCCACAAACTAGCTTGGAGCCACAATATATCTATATCTTTGGCAATATTTATCCGATTCTTAAGAGGAGTACCTTAAACGGTTCGTAGATCGATTCTACATAAATCTGCGTCAAAATCTAAGAACATTATATTTTTTAGATTTTTGGCCAATTTTTCCGGAGGGTTCGCTTCGAAAATCCACAAAACAGCTTGGGGCCACTATGTGGCTTACTTCGAAGTCTATATCTTTGGCAATATTCATCTGATTCATAAGAGGAGCACCTTAAACGATTTGTAGGTCGATTCTCCATAAATCTGCATCAAAATCTAATAACATAAATTTTTTTCAATTTTTTGCTAAATTTCCTGGAGGGTCCCCTTCGAAAATCCACAAAACGGCTTGGAGCCAAAAATGGCTCCCTGCGAAGTCTATATCTTTGGCTTAAATTACCCGAATCTTGAGCGGAGTACCTTGAACGATTCGTAGATCGATTCTCCATAAATCTGCACCAAAATCTAAGAAAGTATAATTTTTTACATTTTTTGCTACATTTTCTAGAGGGTCCCCTTTGAAAATCCACAAAACAGTTTGGAGCCACAATATGGCTCCCTACGAAGTCTATATCTTTGGCAATATTTATCCGATTCTTAAGAGGAGTACCTTAAATGATTCGAAGATCGATTCTACATAAATCTGCATCAAAATCTAAGAAAGTTAAATTTTTTACATATTTTGCTACATTTTCTGGAGGGTCCCCTTTGAAAATCCACAAAACAGTTTGGAGCCACAATATGGCTCCCTACGAAGTCTATATCTTTGGCAATATTTATCCGATTCTTAAGAGGAGTACCTTAAATGATTCGTAGAACGATTCTACATAAATCACCGCCAAAATTTAGAAACAAAATATTTTTTAAATTTTTGGCCAATTTTTTCGGAGGGTTTGCTTCGAAAATCCACAAAACAGCTTGGAGCCACTATGTAGCTTACTGCGAAGTCTATATCTTTGGCAATATTCATCTGATTCATAAGAGGAGCACCTTAAACGATTTTTAGATCGATTCTTCATAAATCTGCATCAAAATTTAAGAACATAATATTTTTTAGATATTGTGCCAAATTTTCTGGCAGTTCCCTTCGAAAATCCACAAAACAGCTTGGAGCCACTATGTGGCTCCCTGCTAAATCTATATCTTTGGCAATATTCATCCGATTCTTGAGCGGAGTACCTTAAACGATTTGTAGATTGATTTTCCATAAATCTGATTAAAAATCTTTAAACATAATTTTAAAACAATTTTTTTTCAATTTTTTAAGTGCTCACGGCAAAGGACCATTAACAGATTCTGAATCAATAATCGTCAAATACTAAGATACATTTTTTTAAAATTTTTCTATAGCGCTTTCTTCAAAATGCAACAATGTTTTTGTAGAATGTTGTGTACCTTTGTAAAGGTCTTCTTCCAAGAGTCCTTTTTTGTCTGCCTTTTAGAAACTGTATACATCTTTCAAGACAACCATCCTGCTTTCATATTCAAATCGGCGCCGGCGCCACCTGCCAACCCGACGTTGTACTTTTGCACGATCCAGCTCTCGTGTAGTTGTTGCGCTGCCTCCCATCCGGTTCCTGCTCCCTCTTCTCGTCCTCCTCTAGATCTCCCCCAGAAACTGGCCCGATATAAAGGCGATCGCCAACGAAGCAACTACGGTGTGGCCGTGCCAAAGAAATTGCAAGAACATTGTTCTCGTTAAACAAAAATCATGTTCAGTGCCCTTGGAGGTCGGTCGTGGGCAAAAGTATACGATCCGATTGCGGATGCGTGCCACACAGAAACGCCACCACCCCCACCACCTCGATTCCATTATAACCGAAACTAGGGAGATAATAAAGACAAGGTCTGCTGGTTGGCCTGAAGACTGGATGCCTTTGGGTTCATTCAGGATCGAATAGATCTCTAATGACATCTATGCAGACTGGAGACACTCGCAGGGTTATCTCATCCTGCAGATTCGAGGATCGGGGCAGACGGTCCCGAAAACCGCAACGACCCCGATCGCCGCAGGAGCATTATTGTCTAGCCTCCATTCAGGCCAAAATCCCTACCCGAGAAAAGTAAGGTAGGTAGGTAGGTAGGATGGTTATGGATATGTGTATGTTTATCGGGAGGAGTGGCTAATGCGACGACACCCCGCTGTTAGGTGAGCACACAGCCGCCTTTAATTGAGTTATACATTCGACTGGTCAACTGGTCCCTTCCCACCAGGTTCCCTTCCTTCGGAGTTAGCGGACAATGTTTTGACATAAATAAATGCTTGAATGACTTTAAGTGATGGCAGTTGGCTTTGACTTTCTATGCCCGAGAACTCACATTTGGCATGATTTATGGGGCACGATCTGGCGACTGCTCAAGACATTACTTTCGCATATGCTGGCTCTGGCTTAGGCTCAGGTTCTGGATGGAGATGGGGATGGTACCAATGCTAATTCGTATTCAGGTAGTAAGCGGAAAACAATAAAAATGTATATTCGCAGCCGTCCTTTGCCATGACTTTTGGATACTCGAAACAATTCGCAAGAATCGAATCAAATTTATAAGCCATATAAAGGTGATTAAGCACAGGTCTTTAACAAATTGTTTGTATAATAAAATAAATACATTTTCAATGAACAGGTAACAGGAATTCCATTTTAATATTTTAAAATTATGGAATTCAAATAATTTCTATTCAATGGGAATAATTTTTCGATTATTTTTTATGTTTCTTTAGTTTTTTTAAGGTGCAAATCGTACAATAATTTGTATTTATTAATTTCAACAAATTTATTTATATTCTCATTTTTGCATTCTTAAGCCATATTGATCCAAATATTATGTAAAGGATCGTTTATCAGTCTTTTGTTAAGTACAATTAATTATTTAAATAAAAATATATTTTAATAATATGTATTTAATTAACAATAATTTTAAATACGTTACAAACAAACATACAAAAAGGGCCTGAGAAAGTAAATGTGCATCCGGTGATAATTATACGTATAAGTATGCTTTACAAAATAAGTCACAAGAAGTGTAGCATACTTTATGGCTGAAAAAGAAATGGCGGTAGGGTGCCTATCCAATGGCGGTTCTATGCATGGCCGATTTAACATTTAAAGTTTTATGAATTTAAAAATTAAAAATGCAATCATTTGCGAAATGTGAGAAAATTTCTAAATTCCAAATATTCTAAACACAAAAAATATGCAGTTAATAAGAAAGATCATCAATTTTATGAACTTCATATTTATTCCTCGAAATTTTAGTTTTATAAAGTACATATATGATGAATTATGATGTTAAATGCGCTCATAACAGTATTTTGGTTCAAACGAAAGATTAATATCATTATTACTTCCTAAGCCAAGGCTTTTCAAGCATATTCTGTTGTTTTGTTAACAATTTTATTTTGTGGTTAGGATGTAGTTGATAAAATATCACCAACCCTATTTTAAGGGGCAGAATCTAGCTATAACATCGACAGTTTTAAGCTTATTTGATATTTTTTTTTTTATATCTTTTTGGTCTTTTTTTGATATAAATAGTTTTAAATATTGTACTACAAGCTAGTAACTTTTTAAAAATTTCAAGATTGAATTAATATTGATGATTGGAAAGAGATATTCATTTGATGGGAGTAGTATTTCCTCCTAATACAATTTTAATAATTTGATCTATAGGAAACAAAGTTCATACATTATTCGCACCCTTTTTATTAATCCATTGACATAGAGCATATATCATATTTCTAGGCACTTAAGTTGGTACAATATTATCAATTTCCTTAAGACTTTTATTTATTTTGGATCAAATATCATGTATGCAGATATTAAACTATTCACATTGTAACTTGAGTGAGTGGGAAACAAAATATTGTATTTTTTTAAAGAAAAACGTAATGTGATTAAGTTTTATCCAACCGTTCAACCCTTTGGTCCATGAAATATTATTTGATTTGGTTAAAACAAATATTTACGTCACACATGTGAGTAAAATGTAATTTAATCTTATGGCAACCAACCACTTTATTTCATAAAAATATATCGGAGGCATTCAATTTTGTATTAAACTAAAATAAAAAGGGTGAAAGAAGTTGGAAAGTAACTGATATTTTGGGAACTTTTGAAAAATCGTTAACAGATTACAATATTTCTGTAGGTCTCACACAAGTTTCTTATCCTAAAGAGAATACAAACATAAATTAATAAATTAAGGGTATAATTTTGTATTTCTATTTCCTAATCTATTTAATCCATGATAGTTAGCAGTAGCTAAGAGTAAACGAAAGCTTGTTGATATCCGTGTAAAAACCATCATTCAGAAGTGAAGTAGATTCTCTGTAAATAAAAAAACGTTTATTAATAAGCATTCTGAATAATAATTATAATATTATGATACACAATACCATGTAATTCCTTTTAAGATTTCATGTAAAAGTATTCCACTGTCATGATCCTCGTAAGCTCCAGGCTGCCTGAAAAGAATTTGTGTTAATTTTAATAAACTTTTACAAAACATAATATTATATGCATCTTTAAGTAAATGCATTTTTTTATCTCATTCGAAAAGGGCCAACAAAAGG